GCTATAAAAGTGAGGTGTCTTGCAGAAGACCCCGGGTCTCGTCTTGTCAACATGGGAGCATCGATCCGGATCGGCTCCACCCCCTCCCCCCATCTAACTCACCTGGCCAGTGAAGTTAAGGGTAGCAACTAATTGGTAACAACAAGACGGAGTGTGTTTGTGTGTGTGTGTGAGTGTAAGTGTAATATATTATATGCATATAATACAGTGTTAATGAATACATGTATTACTAATAAATGTGGCGTTTTGCCTTATTCCCCCTGAAAAGATCCTGTGCAGTACTTTAAGTACAACACTGTTCAATGTTGAACCATGCTGAAACAAAATGTTCTGATTTGGTTTGACAAACCAAACTGCTTTGCAATGTGAATGATGAAAGAAATTGGTTTGATCAAATGTGGTAATCAGATATTTTCACACATTTCTGGAACTGGATACAAAGTAAAATGTTTGTATATTTCAACATCTTGTCCTGATTCATGACAGACACAAATGTCAAAATAGCAGAATTTCCCATCTCAATTCTGATTTAGCAGCTACCTGGCTCAGCTTCTCAGCTGCACTCCAGACCTTTACCACTCCTGCATTCTTACCAAATCCCACGATTTTACTGAGAGTCTCATGCTGTTTGGTGTTTTTCTTAATACCCCAGCTCCTGGAGTCAGGTGATTACAAGATACTCTCGTCTTTCAGAAGTTTCTAACCCTCATGGTTGCAGAGAAAAACTTGTAATTGTGACCCCTAAAAGCTACGACACCAGAAAACAAATTAAAAGCCTTGAAAGCTGTTATTTTAAAGTCAATCTCATGGTTTGGGGGGGGTCTCAATCCATGATTTTTGAACACTTGGGTTGGCAATGCTGCTCCTGTCCCATTAAAGGGGCTGGAAAACAACTGGATTCCCCTGCTGGGGATTCCCCTGGAGCAAAGGGTCGGCATATTAGCCCCACACTGCTCTGACTCAACCCCCAGTGAACGGGGAGGATGGAGAGTGGGTGGCGCACTCTGTACTGTGGCTATTCTGGGATGTGAGAAGTTGCCCTAAATTCAAACAGCATCTGGGGTCATGGCAACCCCAGGGCAAACCCAGCATAAAGCCGCCTTTGCCAGCACCACCCTGTGCAGCCCAGAATCTGGGTCTCACCATTTCCTGCTGGGTGCCAATCACAGCCAGGGAGGCACCGAGGGCAGAGCAGTGGCTCTGGCTGTTGGTCCAGTTCTCTTCAGCCTCTGAGAAATAGAAACACTTCCCCAGGTGCCCAATCCAGCCGTCTGGGCAGGAAGGATCAGCTGGACACGGCTCAGATTTCTTTGCTGGAGATGAGAAAGTAACAGGCTGAGAGATCTGCCCGTCTCCCTCTGTAGCCATGGCAATAAGCCCCCAGTGACACCACACCATGGAACTCCGCACACCCTCCACACCATGGGAAGCTGCGCTTGTGCCTAGACACGTTCCCCTTCACAACACAGAGAGGCCAGTGCCACCCACCAGCTCCCCGCAGTGAAGCGAGCTGTGAATTTGGGGTCTCGTTTCTAGCCCCGGGCACCTTTGCTGGGGTCCCCATTTTGCCCCCTGCAGTTACCTGCAGGCACAGACTGTGACGCTGTGTGGAATATGTGGAACACTTAGTGATATTATTGATACCAATATTATCAAATTGCAAACGAGCTGGCCAGATAGGCCGTATGAGGGAGCTGCAAAAATATTATGATTTGCCAAGTACGATAACCTTGTTTATATGTTTGTATCACTTTTGTGTTATGAGTTATACATGTGTAGGGTATGTCTGTAGTTCCAGACTTGTGCTTTGTTTCTGGGTGACACCCCCAGACAGATTGACATCAGCACTGCCCAGCCTGCTCAGTGGCCCATCCAGGGTCATCAGCTGTACAATGAACCCATGGAAAGGAGACAGGGGCTACACCTTACGAGTCAGCAAGACATGTAGAGGCAGGCCAGTGGACAGAGAACTCAAAGGCTTTTCCATATCATGTACGGTGAAGCTTGTGTTTGGGACATAGGAAGTCCCAGCCATATAGCAAAAGAACACAAAGGGCAGCTGCACCTTCTCCATTTTGTCTTCAATCCTGCTTTTTACCTCTGGAGGAACTTTTCTACAAAGTGAAGCTCTGAGCAAAGGACTGAATGACCCATCCAAGCTGTGGATGTGTTCCAGGGGGACTTTCAAGCCAGCAAACACCAATGCAGCAAAGAATCTGATATATGGACTTTGAAGTCTCTGTATGTATCTGACTGCTTGACCATTTAACAACTCTCTTCTTGTTCTTTCTTTTATAATGAACCTTTAGTTTTAGGTGCTAAAGGATTGGCTGGCAGCGTGGTATTTTGGGTAAGATCCAACCTAGTACTGACCTGATAATAGGCTGGCCCTTTGGGGTCAGAATAACATTTTGTATAATGAGCAGAGTTTTTAAATAACTTCTCACTGTACTGGACCCACTGGATCCATTCACTGAGGAGGAGCAGGGGGGCATTCAGGAAGGCTTGGACCCTCATTCCTGTGAAGCCGGCCAGCTCGGCGAGAGACTGGACTTTGGGTGGGTGTGGCTTTATTAGACAGGAAAGGTGAGTGTAGACCCAGTGCTCAGAAGTGCTGTGCGTGATACAGCAATATAAAGTAAAACTATTAACCAGGGACACATGCATCTCTGGGGGAGAGGATCTGGGATTTCTGTGAGGAGCCAGTGTCAGGGCTGGATGTCACGGGGGAGCACTGCAAAGGGATGCAGGGACCTCAGTGCAGGTATTGTTAACCTGCAAGACAAAGCCAGGGCTGGCCTAGCCGGGAGGAGAGGACTTGTGAGGCTGAAAGGCTGGTGGGTTTAGGGAGCTGCCAGCCAGCCAGGCACAGATATGGCTCCCTCCCATTGGAGACCGGGGGGGGGGGGGGTAACACGGTGACTCACAGCCCTTAGTAACCAGGTGTGTTTGGGTGACAGGGCAGAGTTACCCAACAGCCAATGGGACATTGGCAGAGGGGGGAGACCCCACAGAAAAACCACGGGCTCAGCAGAG